ATATATATATATATATATATATATATATATATATATATATATATATATATATATATATATATATATATATATATATATATATATATACTGTGTTATATTTATGTCAGAACATAATTGGGCTTTTCATAATAATTTTGCTGATACCAACCAAATTCCCACCGTATCATATCATGATTTTGATGACCGGCATGGTCTTCCCATGTCGGAAGACATGGGAAACCGTGTCCCTCGGACTCGGAGAATAATCTCAGGCTCGACTCCATCAACATTCACATGGCATTTCTGCGAGGAGACTTCTCTCGACTCCAATTTGTCTTCGTCACCTTCCCTGTCTCTTTAATCGCAGAGAGTGATGGCTCGACGGCCATGTACAACCCATCGATTTCTGCAGCGCACATCGCCCTTCCTTCTCGGGTGAAAAGAAAGTGAAAACACGCAGCTGATTCCTTGAAATCGTCTGGTGATCTACTGAGTTTTCTCTATCTTGGGAGGTAGTCGTGACATCTGAAACAAGCTATAAGCTGTAGAGACGAAGATCAAACTTCAAAGATTCTTCCTGTCCTCACTGTTCTTGTACGAAAGAACTCTTGCTGGTGTGCTCACCGAGTTGCACAGTAAAATCTCCCAACATGGCTCGATTAACTAGAAGAAACGGAGGACAAGAGTGAAGTTGATGCATGAACAAACAGTGCTACTTACTAGTAGAAAACCAAATTAATCGGACGATCTTATCTCGGATAAAAAGAAGTTCTAAAAACAAGATGAAAATGAGTCCCTATCTATTTCTCAAACACTGCAACAGCTTTGTGGAGTCAAACTATCCAATCAACACCATATGGTTGAGGGCAATTCCTCCATTTGCCATTCAGAAGTACTTGATGTAAATTTCACGAGCCTCGTAATATAGTAAATCAAGATTTATGTCCTGAAATTACAGCTTCTCTCTCTCTCTCTCTCTCTCTCTCTCTCTATCTATCTCGTCCCAGCTATATCCCCTGCCCTCCCCACATGCAGGTAATCAGAGCTACAAGGAGAGAGAGGGAGAGAGAGAGAGAGAAAGTAACAAGCTCTCACCCACTGATCATTCCCTCAATCATAACCCTTCTACCTTGTTCACTATTATTCTCTCCTTTCCTTTACCCGTGACTTCCATTTTGGATAATGATGTGGCTATTAATAAGTCCCTACATTCCGTTTCAGATCCTCAACTTCTTTCTTTCGCTCTTAACAGATCTCCGAAGACCTCGTCGAAGCCTTGGTGATCGGATATGTCGAACCATGTCTTGCCTGAGCAAGTTTGCTACGTCAATTGCAGCTTCTGCAACACCGTTCTTGTGGTATAAGCTGCAGCCTCTCTCTCTCTCTCTCTCTCTCTCTCTCTCTCTCTCTTGGTACCTTGTCAGCCCTCGTGTTGGCTACTGAAAGCAATTGGAGTTTGGAACTGATTAAGAAGTATAAGGTATATAGTAATTGATCTTTGTTTCTCTTTTTAGAATCATTGTATATGGTGCCTATCATGATCTTAGGGTTAGCCGTCACACTAAGAGAACATGTGAATCGAGAAAAGCTTGATAGTCTGCCTCTGAACAACAAATTGAGATCTTCATGCTGAAATGATGTCCTACTCGACCAAGATCTGACATGCGGGAGGTGGTTCGGCATGAATATGGGGGTTTAAGTGCAGCCAATGAAGCTTTTTAAAGCCTGAATCTTGTGAGATATCTGAGCAAGAGTTTCTCAGATCTGGCAGTGCAGGACCGCAGGTGGCTCTATGCGTGCCATATTACATATTTCGCTTGTGGAGATATTGCAACAAGCACCAGTTTATCCATATTTCACATTGATCTGAGTTATGTGCAGAATATAAGAGGGGTAAATTAAATTGTGGTAGACACACTCGGCTACTTGTTTTGTTTTGTTAATGCTGATTACTATTGATTACTTCTGCAGCATCAAGAATCACGGAAGTGATCCAAGATCCATCAAAATCATGTGAAACCCTAATTTGCTGCAAACCTTGCAAACCTGTAGAAAAATACTATCTCTTTTCTTCTTTCTCATCCCGTTTCTTCTGCTAAGAGATGTAATCTCTCGGCATTTTTCCTGCGAGTTCGAGTTCCTTAATTTCATTGTGAACTCTGTTGTCTCACGAAAATAACTATGTTGATATATCTTGAACATGGAGTCCAAAAATGATTAACCTATTTTTGGTGCCTCTTAAACCAAGAAAAAGAAATAGGAATATGTAGAACAATTATACAGCTCCTTCCAAGTTAATGGACACAACAATTCGAGTATGTTATGGAATACTGACTTCTTTTCTCCATAACAAAGTTATGAAAGTAAGCAAGATCTAGGAGAAATTAATGCCTTTTGACTTGTTTTACATCCAACTTATTCTTGTTCTTCCTACTTCAGGTCAATATTCCCGGCAACAATTCGTTCAGCATTGTCACAGTAAGATGTGGACTTTGTGCTAATATTCTGTACGTAAATCTCGAAGGTTTGCATGGAGTTCTCCCACTTCAGAATTTTCAGGTTCAAATGCTCCCATTGATCTGAGCAGTATTGTTTGTTGCTAATTTCCAATGGAAAAAATTACTGTTTTCTTGTTTGAAGATATATAGACATGCATATCTTATGACTCTACGGAAAAGGAATATGTGAGATTATTATGCCAACGACATAATCTATGATCTCTTCTTCTCCGAGTAGCTTTCTTTCGGTGCTACCAATTCATTTAAAAGCTTAAGTTGGCTATTTCAAGCTTCATACATGGAGATTGAACCAAGTGTAATGGAAAACTAAAGAGACCTGCCTATGTTCATCATATATATTAGTTGATTAGATATGCATATTAGATTTTAACAAAGATCGATTCATTTAAAAGCTTGAGGTGATAACTGTTCTCAGCTTTAGCTATCTAATTTCATCTGTCATGACACTTATGATTTGTTACAATATCCTAATCCAACAAAAGAAAATGAATTTTTCTCTTCTTGTTAGACATACTTAAGAACTACTGACTCAGAGAGGAAACTCTATCACTTGATCTCAATTGTCAGACAGGCTGGATACTAATGTACAAGCACAAAGATAAGCCCCTGCAATTGTTCTTCCTTTTTTGCTTCTTATTGTTTGAAGAATAAAGTGCAGAATCATAACCTTGGGTCTCAACACCTTCACATGGATTTTGGATCTTCTTCAAATTGCACCAGGCTATCAGTCATGAACCCAGTGGATTATGTTCAACAGCAAATGCAACTGATCCATCGTAAGCTTTTCTGTGCTATCTTCATCATTTAATATATACATCTATATATGTAAATATGTACGTATAAGAATGTATGCATACAACAAAATACTGCAGTTTGCTTCTCTTGTTTCTTTCTTTATCTTATGGAGAGCAAAATTAGAGAGCAAATCGATTACTTTTGATTCTTGCAAAAAATTGTGCAAGCAAGAGACTTTTGTGTCTTACTTCTTGCATCTTCCTGTAAGCAGCAACGGAGAAGCGGCGCGCTCCTTCGGCCTATAACAGATTTATCAAGTAATTTCCTCGAAATAAAATTCAATTGTTGTAGTCATTCTAAATTTTCTTGAGCCATTGGCGTCGTACAAATCTTAATAGATTCGTTTGTGTATTGCTGCTGCTAACGATGTCTAGATTTTCTTTTACGCAGGGAGGAGATTCGACGGCTGAAGACAAAGAATCCCAACATTAGCCACAAGGAAGCTTTCAGCAGAGCAGCAAAAAATGTAAGAAGTAGTACCATCGCTTAGAACCTCAACTTACTCAACATCCATCTGCACCAAAAATAATAGTTGCAAAACAAACATTAGACATGAGATGAATATTCATGAATCATTGAAATATCATATGAATGGAGTTATAGACATGGAAAGAAAAAAGGGATATAGATATGTATGTCATGCATACACTGCAACATTCTTTCCCTATTAGATATGATTACATAGATAGGAATAATTTATTCATGAAAAGTGGATACATATGTCATGCTTCAAAATTAGCTCTTCGGCTTAAACCAGCCTTTCTTACTAAAACTGAGGGCTAATCCCTTAAATTAAATGTTAAGCCTCCTCATGAAAACAGGTATAAACATGTGCTCTAAATTCTTTACTTGGAAAAATATGCATGAAATATCAATGTCATGAAAAAAGCACAATCTTCTCATTACAAACATCCATGACAAGTTAAATGATATCTCCACTACTGTGTGTGTTCTACATTCTACTTGGGATCAGCTTCAACCACTGAATCCATGCTGCTTCCTAATTTCCTTCAACTTGCAGTGGGCACACTTCCCTGAAATCCATATGGGGCTAACGATCAAGGGGAACAAGCAAGTCTGATGTCGAGGTCAATGCTGCTCAACTGAGTGGAACTTCTCATGTTTGTTCTTGAATGGTGTTTGTTCTTGTAGCCAATGGTAAAATGTTATTCTACTGTGTGCCAAAGTATCAAGGGATGTAATAAGTTCATCGTTTTCCAATAAACATGTTTTGCCTTCGTGGTTTTATATACAAAACATTGTTGGCAGTACTCGATTGAATTAATCCTTTACCTAATTGTCGAGCAGAACTTAAATATAAACAGATAAAGTTATTGACTTCTCGGCTACTCTATGGTGATCTCTGCAATGGCTGAAGCATACATACAGGTCGAGATGCAAATCCAACATTTTACTGAAGAGAAGGTGAAGACGTCGACCTCATCATCATCAAACAGCACTGCTGGTTTCAAGTAATACAAGTATACATCGCACCATCAATACATTACAGCAAAGAAAGCACGTCATGTACGTGTACGATGAAAAGAATGGAAAAGAGAAGGTAAAGATGTACTAAAGTTACACTGCCTGAGGCATAAACAGAGAAAAGAGTCACCAGCTGGGAGGGAGGGAGGGAGGGAGACAGAGTTAATTATTACGAGGAACATTGCGAGTCCGGCCAAGACAGGAACTGCCGTCCTTGCACTGTCAGGTGCCTGATCAAGGACTGAAGCAAGCCGCGAGGGGGGTGGAGGAAAAGGAGGCATCGATGTATCAAGCACAAATGCCAAAAAAGAAGAATCTGATGAGAGAGAGAGGAATGTGTTGTTGTCAGTCCAATGAGGTGTCACTTCAGACAGCGATCTAAATGAACAGGGAATCCGGCGAGGATCCAAGGCGGCACAGAATGACACGGCCTCGGATTCGAACACCCCTAGATCGCATGAGAATCCATCTCCACATGCCAAAATAGTTACACGAGCTCACGAACCATATAGTTGAACGAGTTCACGGTCATGAAGCTTTGAAATCTTATATGTTTGATTCATTGTTGGGCCAATAACAGAACTATTCTTCACTCATGGACTGTCAGTTGCTTCCTTTCATCGCATGAGAATCCCTCGCTGTTTCTCGTTCTTCTTCCTCGGGTCTCCTCCGTCTCGTTAATTTGCCACTACCTGAAAGACACGTTTTTTTGCAGATATGATGAAGTGAAATACATGTTCTTTTACTCGAAATCGAACTGGATTGCAAGTTCTTTGTTTTTATGGTGATAGGTAGACAATAATTAGATAAATATAAAGATTTGTTGTGCAAATTATTGTCAGGTTAAATAGTATATTTACCCTCTGCTGTATATATTTTAGGGCAGCAGTAGCTCCTGTGTTGAGTTCTCACACAGAACAACGGATATGCACGTACTTCTGTTGATATATATGATAGAAAAGATTTTCTCAACTATATGAGGAAATTTAAGCTTTTACACTTCTTCAATAAAGCTTCTTCCATAATTGCTCTTATCTTCTATTATTTTCATCATGGCATTAGAGCAGTGAGAAAAGCGAAGCTTCGCTCTTGCCTTCGGCCAGTGACCAGCGTCGTTGAGAAAAGCAAAGCTTCGTCCATGCCTTCGGCCAACGACCAACGCCACTGCAGCCAAATTCCTAAGAGGCTCCGTGATTGATCCTCATCTTCCTCACCGCGATAGTCTTCGTTGATCTACCAACAATTGACGGACTTAAGGAGAACGAAAGATGGACTTAAGGGGAACGAAAGGAACGCCTGTGCCCTCACAACAACAGCAATCGTAGCAGCAACAACGATCTGCTCTTGCTCTACTCACGAAGCCTCTCGCTCGTAAACCATTCTTTGCATCGATTCAAGATTGATATCCTTGACAGGAGCACCATTAGGGAATGATAGAAGATAGGATTTAGTTCTACTCGTATGCAAGCCGAGGGATGCGCTTGATTACTGTTTGACGATTTCTTCTTCTCTTGGTTTTAATCCTGGGCTAATATTGTATTTGTATGTGATCCTATGCCCCAAAGATCAGGAAACCACACGATGATTTCTGACCGCCATGGTGGACCGCCTTGCCGTCCGCTTATCCGTCGGCAACCAGCCTTTGTCAGAGCAAAGCTTTCCGCTCGCAGGTGTTCATCAGCAGCTTCATCTTTGAAGGTTCCTGACCAGGGCAAGCAAATCTATACGCCTATAAACCTTCTGTTCCATAAGAATTGGCTCATGCAAATTAAATTGCCGACCTTTCCAGTTATCCATTTGGACGTCGTCTTGGTTGCTGCTGCTGCTACTCCATGGAAGAAGACGGACAAGGCGAGTGCATTAATCCAGTAACGGCTCACCTTATTATGGAGAAGGCAGCAGCGATCGTTTCCTACTCTCCATAACCACACGGGACGACGAAACATCGAACCTTCCTCGCGCGCGTCTCGGATTTGTCCTCATTCGATGCTTCACGCACTTGCGGTCTTAGGAAGGCGGCGAGCGTCCAGCTCAGCGCCTCACAAAATCCGGTCAAATCGAAGGTTCCCTCTCGCCGCCAGCACCTGGCCTTCCGACTTGCCCTAACCCAGTCGTCGTCCCTGGGTCCCATCAGCTAACGTGGCCTGGTATGTTTCTGGGTTCCCTTCTTCATTCCCCGCACCCGCGGCACCGTAGCAACTCGCCTCGTTTCGAAGCCCACGTGGCGACACGGAATCCATGTACTGAACGCTTCTCATTCTGGTCCGCAGAAGCATCGTAACATTAAGTTCTGGTTCACCACGCCTCTTTTTTAGCTTCAGATATTGGCCTCTGAGGTGCCGACACCGGGAAAGAGCATATGGCACGGAAGCCGCCACCCGAGCCTGCCTCGGTTCCCCGCAGGCTCCGGCCGCTGATCGTCGTGGAGAATCCGAAGCCGAAGCCAGGATCCCGTTGCGCCGAGGCGTCCGGAGAAACGGCGGCGGAGTGCGCAGCCATCTTCTGCTGCTGCCCCTGCGGCCTGGCGAAACTCCTAGTTTTCGCGGTAATCAAGCTGCCGGAGGGGCTCGTACGGAAGGCCCTGCGACGGAGGAGGAAGCGGAAGAAGAAAGCCACCGGGATCTGGCGGCCCAAATACGGCGCCTTGGACGATGACGACGACTTCAGCGTTCACGGAGGGTTCCTTTTGGCGGCGGCAGGGGCCGAGGAGGCGTGGCCCGCGAAGACGCCGTCTCAGGAGCTGCTGGAGTTGGAGAAGGAGATGCGGGCGAAGTTTTACGGCGCCGGATTTTGGCGAAGCGGTTCGCAGAAGGAGTAGAGGCAGCCCTCTTGGCATTCCGGTGAGAAGGGAAATGGCTTTTCTCGTGGTAGAAGAGAGGAGAGGTGGTCCAAAGTGGGATCTTTTCCACTGCTCTGCTGCTGCTTCGGATTGCTCAGTTGCATTCCGACGAGCGATTTCGTCGAGGACTAATATTTTGCCGTGGTGGACAAGTTGACTCATCAACACATAAGTAATCTGCGTCTCAAATCGTCGATGGTTGGATGCCAATTATACTTTACAATCCTTGGTTTTGGTTTAGATGTTTTCTTCTGGAGGAATTATGCATGGGTGAGAGGTGGTCTATTCAGATTCTTGTAGTATGAAAATAATTTCGAATACACATTTCCATAAAGTTCGATAAATGTTTGGTATGGAATGTTCTTTGAAGTTCTCGAATGAATATAGAATCGATTTGGCAAAAAATATGATACACTGTAATTAATTTTATATTATTATCATTTTGGAATCGACGGGAGATTCTATCCGATTCATCTTATCATAACCGATTCATCTTATCTAAAGACAAACTAGCGTGCATAGTGTTGGTGTGGAAAGTAAGGTTTAAACTATAGATCCCATCCTTTCTCGATTATTTGCAGTAGAAACAGAAATGGGGAGGAAAGACGGGAAGGGACAACTGACACACTGTCTCCAATCCCTCTCTCTCTCTCTCTCTCTGGCTCCCTTGTCGACGCCCAACGCATCGCATCGTCGATTCCCATTTCCTTTGGCGGTGACTGGGTCGCATCGTGGCGCCTCGATCTTCTCAGGACCAATGTGGAGGCGATTCGTGTGAGGCGTTGCTTTGATCGCTTGTTTGTTTCGGATTGTGTTATTCCATCTTTGATCGCACTTGCGGTCGATCGATCTATTGTTTGCCCTAATCTTGTTTTTGTTTCTTTTGGGTTCTTGATGATATTGGAGCTTCTGTTCTTCGGCGCCTGCTGTATAAGGGAATTCTTCGTATAATTTTCGTATTTTGTGGCGTAATTGTTGATTTGAGTTTGTCGTCTGCATTGATTTAAGTTCAGGGGTGATACGATCCTAGTTCGATTTGGTGAATGCATTCTGAGAATGCTGCGACAGTTTGTCCTATCTCTAGCTTCTCTTGATTGATATTTTGCCCTGTCTGTTCTAGTTGATACGAGGTTCTTACATAGGGTTTGGTGATGGACGGGACTGCAAAGAGGGAGAGCCATTTGCCATCTGCTCGGACTCCTGTGGAAGGGGGAGTTCAGGATGCTTGTGGTGATGCATGCAGCATCCGTCTTGAACCCCCTCTGCGAAATTGATCCTTCAACGGTATGGTGTCTTTTGTATTTTTGTTTTTCTTTCTATTCGTGTAAGTGATGGTTAACCTTTTTCCTGCCTCTACTCTGTAGGTGTCCTCTTGTCATTTCCTTGATTGTTGTTCTTCAGATTACTTGTTGCAAGTATGAGTTCCAATCTACAATGCATATACTCTCGGTTAATGCCCTTCTTTCTGGTTCATCGTACATGTATTTTGAGCATGCGTACTATAGTCTTGTAAAAGTTTTTAATCGAAAGATACGGCCATCATATGTTTGTTGTTGTGATTGGACTACTTGTTTTGAGGTGCCTACTATGATAGTAGTTGAACAAGCTTGGTTTTTCTCTTTGGACTCTCTTTGCTTGATGATTTATGTTAGCTATTATCCATGCCATATGCTAGGTTTTTTTGTACAATATGCTTGAAATATCTATGATCTCAGTGTTCTTGAGAAAGCTATGATTCCTATTCCTGTTGGATGTATTTGTTGAATGTATTCGCTGTTTCAAACTCCTTCATTTTTAAGTTCAAGTTCTCTTCAATTATTTCACTACTAGGTGCCAGAGAAAATCTCGGTGTCCCATGTGTTGGCGGTCCATCGGTTTGAAGGATCCCACCTGGTTCATATGAACTGGGTAATCTTGCAATGTGTGCTCTAACTGTTGCTATGGCTAAGAGGTTTTGATTTCTTTCTGATGATTTGTCAGCCAGGAACTACTAGAGGCCGTAGAAAGGGAAAGCAGCATTAGACTTGATCGTGCAAGGACCACCACAATTTTTCATCATCCAGTGCATGGAGATTTCAATTTGCAACATGTGGGTATTTCTTCAAATCTTCTTTGATCTTCTCTTGTTATTCGTTAGAGTTAAGTAGGGAAAAGGTTCTTCTCAAGCATGTACAGATTCTTTCTTTCTCGCCTATTCATGGCAATTGCCAGTTGCTGGAAGTGATGAAGAATTTGAAGAGCATATTATCCAGCACTTTGTTGCTGCTGCTGCCATGGGAAGAGCACGCCACATTGCTTGAAGAGGTCGGCTTAGATCAGGATCTCATGATCACCTGCCGTATCTGGTTTTCTCCACAAATTCAATTGCATCGTCTGTGGGCTTAACATCTTCCTCAGCTCCAAAAGGGGAAAATGAAATAGCTCCTGCAACAGTTGTTGCTAACCCGTCATCTTCAATAACTAATCCAGGAGGGGATTCTGCCGAAGTAACAAATATTATGCTGGCTCATGCCAGTAACAAATATTCTTACTTCAAGTCCAAGGTTCGACTGTATACTCGTAAATGTCTATATTATAATTTCTCACATAAGTATGTCACAGCATTGTTCTGCTTCCTTTTCTTGTACAGCAAACCTGCTGGCCAGTCAAATCTTCGGCTAACCAAGATGGACCAGAACCATCAGACTTCCAATTGTTCTCAGAATCTATGAAATCTCGTCTGAATGCAGTTTCACCGAGCTAATTCAGAGCTTATGTGCTGTTTTCAGTATCCTGGTAATGCGGATGCGGGTTGTGTCCTTCACATTTTGTTGCAATAGGTACAAAGAATCTGTTGCTAAGAGCACTAAAGGAAGGAGGGAGAGGCTATTTTCACGTAGGAACTCTGTGGCGGGTATTGGTTGTGAAGTTGGGAGACAAGTTGGTGTTGGAATTGGTACCATGTCAAGAATAATGGAGCTCCTGGTACTTTTCTCTCACATAGTGCTGCAGTGCACTCAGATATGGAACCAGGTAATAATGGTGTCATTGCCAATCGTGCCGAAACTTCTCCAAATAATGGCACTACCTTTGCAACTTCTCACATAGTGCTGGTACTTTTCTACTCCTTTTCTAAAGATTTGTGCTTGGTTTAGTGCTCAATATCGAAGGTACCTACATTTCTGCTAGCACGAGATTCCCTTGCGTTGATGAATTTACTTGTCATAGAAATCAGATGAATGATACCAGAATACACAACCGTTATGATTTCACTACACTATTGTGCCTTTGATTTTGTTCAAGGGTCTCTTTCAATGCGGTGAAAGGTGTTAGGTGTTAGGCGCCATAAGGCGTCAATCTGCCAAAGCACAAAGGCTCTCTTTTAATATTATTTCAAATATGGGTGACGTGGTGGTATGTGTCATGGAGTTAGAGTGAAATTCGATAGATCCAGCTCATTGACTCTACGGTGCATGCCACCATGAATGACACCCGCTCTAATCCCGATGAGTAATCATACTTTCTAAGTCACACCTTAGCACAACATCATGAAGATGAAGAGCAAGCAAAAGGAGCGATTGAGTTGGTCCATATAGCCCTCCCGTACCCGCTCATTCTGTCTGATCAGCTTATCAAAGAAGAGGAAACGACGAAGGTTGTAACAACATATGAAGGTGGAGAGGTCGGAGACGGAAGCAAGAGAGCACTGGACCACTATATCATAAACACAATAGGTGAGAGCGTAGGAGAGGACGAAGTGGGAGACGATAAAGATAAAAACACCCAAGAGAAGAAAAAGAAACTGACCACTACGTGCCTATCGACATGCATTTAATTGAGGCAAGATTATAGGTGATCATTTCTACGATGATACCTCCCATCATTGATAAATATAAATTAATATACCACATAAATATATTTTAATATTTATTAACTCTGATAAGAAAAACCTATATACTATATTTTAAAAAATATAAAAACTATTTGACATAAATAAATCATAAAAATTTTAGAGATTTATGATTAAAATTACAAGAGCCAAAATGAATCCTAACTATCCATAACTCAAATGTGTATTCAACTTTACTTTAAAACGTTTCTAGTCAAAAATCTAACAAGAACGCATTCACTGATATAAACATTAAACACGCAGGCATACTTATTAGCCCCAGCAATATTGAGAAGCTTTTGAGCAGCACAGGCGATGAATAAACATGACACGCAGTGGGAAAAAGAAATGACATGCTGATAAAATCAATTACAACTCGTTCCATCATAAATTCTGAATGCTAAGTAGGGATTTTACAAAAAGATCAGTGTTGGAACAACAACAGGTTCGTTGCTTGTTGATTGACCAAGAGATCAGTCCTCTGTTGTGGCAAATATCAAGCATCTCCATCCTCATCTTCTGCAAGTTCTTCGAGCTCATCCACATCACCCACTTCTGCAGAGTTTCCATCATCAGACAGTTGATTCCAAGCGTCTGCCATGCGTCACATGAAATCCTTAGCAGTCAATTCTCAGTCAAAAGCATGGAGGAACACGCCATGCTATTCCAAAGATGCACGTGCATAAATGATAATGTTGACAATAAAAGCTCGAAGTATGTAGTGGAATTAAACATATAGGAGGCATGATTCTGTTTACTGCCCATAGGAATGCATGCCATAGGAGAACATGGAGACTTCATATGAGTGCAGAACATATATTTTGAATGATTAATAACAAAATAACAACTCGGTAGTCTAAGTCCAATTTTTTTTGTCATCATCTATGACATTCATTTCAATATTGTAATATATTTCAAATGATTAAAAACAAAATAACAACTTGGTAGTCATAGTCCAACAATATCTGTTATCGTCTATGACTTATTCATTTCAATTGTATGACATATTTAATGACAATTCTTTACTTGCAATTATATCCAAGTTTACCTTTTACACATTTTGTCAATCTTAAAATTTGGTGGTTGGACACATCATTATATAGCATGTCTTCAAATTTTCACCTTTTTTTTTGTATGCATCAAGGCACCACACAGGATGCACACATTAAAAAGAAACACAGATGGAGGAGCTGAGATTTCCATAAGATAGGGCAAAGGAACAAGTCAAATACCTTTAGTATTAAAAAAATTGGGATTCTGTGATGGCATGCCAGCCTCTGCAACATTGTCAAGAAGATATGGGAGTTCTAGCAACTGCAACAATGACTCTGTCTGAGGGTTCCGACAATGTCCTGCGGTATGTGGAACAGGTTAGACATTAAATTGTGAACACACACCATATTCATGGACCATAAACAATAGGAAAGCAAAGTACTGATACATGTAGCCTTACGACTAGAAGCAACAAGGCCATATCCACAAACCATAGAAAGAAAACAAAGTTATATCTAAACAGGAAATGGCCAAACATAAATTCAATCAGATGCTGAACACAATATTCTATCATCTCTTGCACAAAGAAATTACTGGATTGTTCTATTGCTGCTAAAGATGAATGAGGCACCCCATCATATAACTAGTGTCTCAGGTCTTGTTTGCATGCCCGAAAAATGGACACATGGAATGGAATTGGCTCCGTGAGGCCGGGAGAATAATGTGGCAAATTACTCAACCAGGGTAGAAAGAAAATAAAAGGGTCAATTTAGATATTGAAAAAAAGTATCCGTAAGCAATAAATATTTGAAGCTCCATAACAAGTGGAAAGATAATTAATTAATGAAGGGACTACAGATTCACAGATAAAACCAAAACAAACATGCTTTATGTACATATATACAAGAGAAGAAAAAAAAAACAATGATAAATTCAGTATTTAACATAAAATGAAAAAACAGGAAAGGAAGATTTAGCACATCACCTATATGTGAAATTTAAAATGGAAGTATTACGAATCTTAGCTACAAAAACACTAACAGTTTTTGCAACAAAAAGAAAAGAAAATAGAAGAGTTCAATTGCCTCATGTTTGCACATTTGATCATGGATCCTATTATTACCAGATGTTGAACTTCTGGTGATTGGCCGAGAAGGATCAAAGGGTGAAACAGTCTGCACAAAATCAAAAGGTCTGGCTCCTCTAGTGATTAACTTATTTCTCACCCACTCACGATAATCTTGCTTGTCGAGCTGTTCAGGCCTGCATGCAAAATCAAAGAAATCATACACTTTGATTATCCTACAAGTCAATGTGTATCAAATATGAATTAAAAAATAGAAATTTCAACCTCAAATGAACAGTTTTTCGGCTCAACGGAAAGATACTATTGAACTTCCTCGTTATTGCAAGCCACTCCTCGTCATACTGAATTTCATACGGGCCTGGATCTGAGTTGACATCAACAATCTAAGAATTTAACTGAGTTTAGTTTTTCAATGGAGTTCATACAATATGCATCATTGTAGTAACAACAAACATGGAATCTCTACCTGCAAAAATTTTCGACCTGGAAGACATTTGTCAAGAGCAAGAAACTTTGTGACAGACCCATCCTCTCTGTGCTGAACAACAGCTGCAAAATTACAGTGAAGATGACCAGAAAACCAATAATGTGGTTTAAGTTGGTTTAGCAGCTCTGCAGCAGGCAAGCTGCCTAGAGTCCTCTTCCTGATCTGAAGAAGCACAGTAATTAGACAACAGACATTAATAGCATCAATGTTAACAGTGCATAAAATTCATTTTCAGCATAATACTCTCAGTATATCAATATATATACAATTGTCCAACCAATGAATCGCAGATTCATCAAGTTGCTTGCCATATCCATATTGGATACATGAAAAATATGGTACTTGTCACATAATTATTGGGTTATGTATCGGATATTTACTGGAAACATCCAATTTCGTAGATAATAATTAAAGAGACGTATTTTTTGGATACTCATAAATAGTTTGCAAAGACCATTTGGTAGGACCTTGTTAGATTTTCCTCTACCTATCCTTACATGATTAATTACTAATTGTCTCACATCATTTAACTAGAACATCTATAGGTCTCTTACAACATTTTTTCATATCATCCTAAATGAGCTTTTTCAAATTATCCTTTATCGAATTTATGCATAATTGTTCATAAATAAAAATATTTTTTTTTATCTTTCCAGATTATTCTATGTTAATTTAGATAAGAAAGATACACTGTAATCGTGATTCAACCAGCGCTTTTGGCTCTAATTTGACCAGATTACCTCCTTTTAAGCATGATTTGAAGAATTATTGGATCCACTATTTAGTTCCAAAACCCTGAGAAACCAAGAACTAACAGAATCTCCACTCGAAAATCACAAAACCAAATTCAAAAACTAATATAATCAGCCAATTCCAACCTGATTCAGTAATATAATAACCCAACCAACAATCCCAATCCCAGCTTCTAATGCTAATCATGATTCCTTGAAACATGATTATAAACATATCATCAGATATGCATAAACATACTGCTAATACAACTGATCAGGAGGCAATGGTAAGTTCAATAACTATTTCACTCTATTTTAAATCAATGTGAAATTATAACAGCTTAATATGCACAGTGAAGTGAAATTATGAACTGGGTGTACCTCTTCTTCAAAATGGGGTTTACGTTGAACAAGCCTCTTCGAATTTCCATATTCATAGATACCAACAGGCCAGTCATGTGATATGAAAATATCTATAGGTTCCTTAATGTCCTTGAGCTTCATTACATCATATTCCCGTACGTGGTATACAGACCGAAGATCACTCTCATTATATGGTGGTCTCTCAAAATGTCCTGCTAAAAGAATACATTATGATTTGATAGCACAATGAAGGTGTGATCAAACAATTATCTTAGTTGGATTCAACTTAGAGATTATATAGGTTCGCAAAGTAAATCCAGGAAGGCAAAAAATATATAGACAATACCATATGTGATCAGAGAAGGCTTTTTTATTTTGGCATATAAAATCACAATGAACTATATAGGAAAATGGTATGGCAAAAATCTGCATATAGTAATATAATATGGACAACAAAAAGCGAAATAAGCTCTTCTGTAACAATCCGCAGAATAACAAAATAAAAGCATAACTCAGCATAGATTTATCAAGGACACAAGATTGGAGAGTAAACTTGCCTAGATGATAATGGCCTTGCTTATAAATCCCAGAAACCCCACCAATTCGAATATTGCCAAACTTAATAACTCCAGAAAAGCCCAAAAAATATACATTAGGGGCAGCCCAGCCTCCATAATACCTACCAAAGGCATTGAGTCAGGCCAATATGCATGCAGCCACATACATACAAAACAAAAACAAAATAAATGCTGTAGTCTGATTAGTTTAGCATGACAAATCATTGCATACATGAGATAGTCTTTAAACTGATAATGCAAGATCAAATAAAAGCCTCAATATGCTTGAATATACTAAATTATCTTGAAAAATTACCCAAATTAGGATTAGATATCCAACACTTTTTTAATGCTACAACCACATGAACATCTGATGTTAATCTTAGTAATGTATATAAAATATGCCTTCTATCTTCAAAGCTACTAATTATCTTATAAAGAAACTCACAGTTCCCATAAATAATTTGATGCTTCATGGTTCCCGCCAATAAATATAGTTGGAACAGGTGCTACTTCTTGTCCAGAGTAGTACTTCCAGAAAGAGTTCATACTCCGATATTTTGGTGGGCAACTCAAGCTCTCGAGATCATTTTCGTTCCTGACTGCCTGCTTGGACAAAGAATTAAATGGTTAAAGACATGAGTTGAATCAAGGTAAATACATATGCAGGGTTCTACAAGCAAGAAAAAATGACATGCATATGAGTGTGCATTGTGCAAGCAGGCATCTTGACATGCTTGAAAGATTTCAATTATTTAAAAAAATCCCAACTATAAAGGAGAGCGCTACCACAAGTTAGAATAATGTGGGAAATGAAAGATATCCATATTTCAAAATGTTAAACTATCAATTGTTAAAAATGATTTATAAATTAAAAGTATAATGGAAAGACAAGCATGGTCAATGTCTCTGGCATTACAAATGTAATGCCTAGTGTAGATAGATAAAATGCATCTTTATCACAATCATAAGAAGTAACTCAAATTTCACTTTTCAGGGAAGCAGAGCTACAACAGGTTCTGCCTACTCATTAAATACATATTCTTCATGGCCCCCAAAATGTTGGCTTCCACTTAGGAGATAGAAACTATGCAATCCACATCAAAGCCTTGGGCAGAAATAATAGCCTTTTACTGACTACATGAGGTGATGGACTCCTACAGTAGTTTGGGTGTTGAAGTAGGATCAGTCTTAGTCTAGTCATAGTCCAAGTTCAACCACAACTGATAAACCATTAAGTCAATCACAACTTGGTTCTGATCCATTATTGTAGCTTTTGGTTATAGTGGAACTACAACAAAATTGGCAACAGAGCCCATAATCCCACAAAGATGATGTCAACATAGGATGTGATGCAATTTTCCAATGCCATGAAGAAGATAAACGAAACCACGAAGTATGAGTTTTTGGGTCATCAAATAAAAACAATTTGCTATGTGGAGAAGAAAGTGGAAAAAACCTTTCCAGAGATGAAACAACTTTTCACAGTCAAGAAACCATCTAAGGATCCTCCAATCAACATAAAAAAGTCAACTACCAATCAAAGAAAATAACTTGGTTTCATTAAAATCATTCCAAAGCTACTTAAAGTGTCCATCAAACTGTAGGTGATACAGAAACTAAGAGAAGCCTTAGAAAGAATTTCTTATTATCTATTGCAACGGACACTGACTTGCAAAAATTGCTACAAATATAGCAAGCAATGTTGACAACAAATCTCCTTATGGGGAATAATTAAATTGCCTACCATTGCAGTAAAGGTCGTAACCACCAAATCCTCTACATAGCACAATGTCATTGCTGTATTACAGGACCCAATAATCATAAGTATGGAATCAACTGCAACAGCAAGCCAATGTCATCCAATTATATGGCAGACCTGGGATCATAGATTAAATTCTACACATATTTAGAATTTAGGCATAAATCTAATAGTTTAATATAATTTTGGATGTCAATTGGTTTAGTTAAGAGGAATCCTAAAATCTCCAGAAGACATTATTTAATAGGAAACAAGACTCCAATGGTTAGTTTGTGTAAACAATAAAGATTGTTTTAGTTTTCTTTCAATCTGAGAATTTTACCGTGTAAGTCAAGTTTTCTTTCAATGCAAAAAAGCTTATTTTAGCTAGATATCAATCTACACATGATAAATTTGGTCTAAACTTTCTCTTATTCCATCGCTGCGGCCTCATGTTGTCCTGAGGCTCTAGTATGCTTACTAGGATAGAACCTCAAATTTGCTCCCTTCTTTTTCTTTTTTTTTTTTGCAGGTTCTAACAGCCATTATTTTTGAAAATTATGTATTTAACATGCATAACGCTATTATACATTAATCCATTATCCGACTAGCAACTATCATACACCAAACTTACTGGTTGAGAACGTGAAAACTAATGCTATGATTTGTCAATTTCAAGAAACGAATTCATCACATGCTATGTATGTAAGTAGATAATGATAAGATTTTGTTCCAAATTCAAATATTCTTGCAATGCTAATAAAACAAGTTGATAATTGCAAGACCTGGAAGTCACCACAGCAGATTAGGAGGTCGATCTTTATGTTCTCAACCTTCTCCATATGCCGAATCGTGTCATACACCTTATCCATCTCTCCATGCAAGCAGCCCTCGACTGCAATCTGTTTCCACGTAGGGGGGGAAAAGATTAAGACAAAAAGAAAGCAACGCTAAGAAACCGAAATCGATTGGGAAAGAAAACACAAACAGACACAAGTGAGAGAAACAGATAGAAAGAAACAAAAAGTGAAATTGGGCAATACCTTCATCGTCTCTTTGATGTGACACTCTTCTTCCTCACTACAGCACAAATCAAATCTTCCGCCTTCCCTAATCCAATGCAAGGAAAATGAGGGAAAGCACTGAAAGAAAAAATAAAGCATGTTGTTAGAATCTCCAGCTGAAAAACACTGATCTCTTTCTTCTTTCCCAATCTAGTTGACTGATGTTTTTGCTGTGGTCTAAGTAGTGTTGTCAGGAGAAGGGTCGTCGAAAGAAATTAAGAGGCAGACACGGGACGCCATCCGAAAGAGAGAGGCATAGAGTATGCCGACGCATAGGTGCCAGCGAGGGCTACCCCGACGCGCGGACGCAAGCGGGGGCCGCCTCCCGGTGTGGGCGGGGCTGCTGCGGTAGAGAAGAAGGGGGGAGAGAGAAAGCGAGCGAGTAGAGAGGGAGAGGGGAGGTACCGAGCGAAGCCACAGTTGGAAGAATACTGGTCGCTGGTTGCTAGGGTCGCCGATCGACCTGCACGCAACAGGGAGTAGAGTCGGCTATGCTTAGGGTTTCAGGCGCGCGCGCGAGAGAGAGAAGAGAGAGAGAGAGATGAAGCGTGGAAGGGAAGAAGAGTCGCGTGGGGGCCGAGGGCTGCTACTCCTTTGGTATCGAATAACTTATCTGGTTGAACCCAACCGGGGTTCAACTCAGGTCTCAAAGACTAAGCGGCCAACAATATTGCAATTGTCCCATCTCGACTCTTCGATTTTTCTTTCAGATGAACTCGTTTGGTCCTACCAATGCATGCTTTGAAGATCTGATCTGAATTTTCTCATGAACTGAGCATAAGACTCATAAAAAATAAACCTTTCATGTGTTCCTTAGTTTTCCCTGCTGTTAGCTAGAAACTTGATCGATGGATCCAAACTTGAGCGATCTGGTGCTCGAGACTGTGTTTTGAGACATTTGCTAACTTCTGTTTCTATAAGACCATCTGGCCGTGCACATTACAACAGCGTGTGAGATGCTTGTGTAGGAGTTAGACCGGACTAATAACATGTTCGCTTTTGAACCTTGTGAAGCTGCTCTCTCTCTCTCTCTGTCTCTGTTCACGGAGGAACTCGCGATCGACAATAACAATGGAATTTGGCTGTCAAGCTTAATGTAAACCCCTCCACATCGTTCAAGGCATGTACAAGATCGAAAAGATGAACTGAGCGGACAACGTTTCACACATTGGGAGCCCCTACGCGAATAGTCGATCCGTCGTCGCCTCCTCTTCCCGCTACGTACCTTTTCATCTGATTCATGGATTGAGACAGACCTATTTATGTCTGTGGCATCTGTTTCTATCGGCTGTAGGTTGCCACGGAGTCTGTAGATGGCGGTTGTCCAAGGCATCCGAATTCTATTATGCGCGTATGACTCACCTCTGGTTTACCGTACCCAAAGTATACCGATTTACGAAAGCATGAACGTGTTGATTTGGGTGGTGTACCGTGTTTGACATGTGTCGAGCACAGATTCGTCGACGACATGATTGGACATGTGTTCAGTCAAGTTTTTTCTTTATTATTATTATTATTTTTTTAATTTCATTGATTACATCATTGCTCGGGATTTACTCGGCACGTGGCGCTACCCCTTCATCCTCACCGGTGAATCTTTCTTCACGATGTTCCGACCCTCGAGCAAACCCTTCTTCCTCGGCGAAGCCTATGCCCTCACCCCGAGTGCCCCCTTACCACGACGTCCTGTCGGCATTTTCACTGATGTCCAGTGAAGTTTGTGCCCACTGGTGTCCCGTCAATATCCTCTCTCCCCCGCCCCTTAGCGCCCCACCAGCGTCCATCACTACCCGACGACCGTCGCACGCCCTCGCCATTCGCGCCAAGCAACCCACCGATGTCCAACACTACCTGGCCACTGTCGTGCACCCTAAGCCCTCGCGACGCTTCTTCCACTTCAGACAAGCTTTCCTGCCATGCTGTGTCGCAAGGAAAATTCCCTTAGGTAATATGCTGACTTGTCAACTTGTTCAGTTTTTTTACTGCTAAAAAAATATATAGTTTCATTATTAACCTATTATTCATCTATTTTATTTTTTAACCTGAGTTTTTTTTACTGCTTCTTCCTTGTTTATTCTAATTAACTTGTTAAAACTTTTATATATATATATATTCGACATGTCTATATCTCGATTATTAAAAAAAAAGATGTCACTGTGTTCGTTTCGGCATTTATCAGTGTCGATAAGAGATAATTTGATCGGTCGATCATTGGTGCATGCTTACGAGAAATTATCCACTTTGAGTGATGGGTGTACCCGCACAGTTTTATCCTTTCATAACATGTCAACTCCAAAAAATACCTCATGAGAGCTAAGAGCCTCAGAGAGATCTTTTGGAGCTCACATGCTCCGAAAGGATGAAACCATACGAGTACGCCCATCGTCCAAAGTGAACAATTCCTTACGAGCCTACAAGCTGCACCAATGACCGATCGACCAAATTATCTCTTATCAAAATGCCAAGCATATATGCTCGGAGAGAAAAAAAAAAAAAAAAAAGACAAGTAGAAAAGGAAGACGTCATCCAACTACAATACAATACAAGGAAAAAGAAATCACCCAAAACAATGCATTTTCCATCGACTCAGCTGCAAGTATTACCAACCATAAATCAAACGGTAAAACAGTTGAGCAATCAATATACATGGACCAAAATGAAGTCTTATAAAAACAGCATCTACTTGGGAACAGCGAAATGCGCAACACAGAACGACACCATACCTTTCAAGCAAAACACTTTCTCTCTATTCACAGATGGGCGTATAACTACTGAGGACACTATTTAACCTTGTACTGGAACTTGCTGAGGCGCGATATTGGCTTCAGGAAAGGTAGCAACAATTGTTTGATCTTCCTTGACTACGCCCTCAGGAGAAGTTGGCACCGTTTCAACACCTGTTTCTGCAGAGACTTCCGTTGTTGTGTCATCACCGTTCTCTGTCTTGACTTCATCAACTTTAGGATCCATAGATTTTGCGTCCGACTTCGTAGTTTTTGATTTCTGCGATGGAAGCTTGGAAAGTGACTTCTGCTTTGGGTTCTTTGAAGCTATTGCATTCCTCTTGCTGCTTGCGGCACCCTCATTCATTTTGGTGGAGCTGGCAGTTACACATGGGCTCTGACATGAGTCACCAGCTTCTGAAGGATTACTTGCTGCAGCAACAGATTGCTTGCGACGTCCAAGCTTTGGTGACCTAGCACGCGTCGGAGGGATCTGTAAAATGGCAGAAGATTAGCAGCAGTAAGATAATATCAAATATGTTCTCTTACGAAAGACAAACTGCCTGCAAGTGTATACATCGATCTACAGCGAAGCATACTGTACCAATAAATTATACACGATCAAGAAGTGGAATATGATTATGCCAATGTTCTGGGGATAAGGTAAGACAAATCAAGGTGTTACAAGTTTCACAAGACTAGGTTCTAACCTTTTTACCTAGTAGATTGTACCATTTACCTTAATGAAAAATGTAAATCATAACCTCTTAGGAGCTGTGAGAGTATGACACGACAATTGTCAAGTGTGTGTTATGGAGACAATTTTTGCAGCGAAACAAGTTACATATCAATTGATGATATTATGTTCCATGAATTGTGTGCCATGGTACTATCCATGACAGATATTGTGCCAAAGAAGTGCTGACACCAAGGCAATGCTTATCTAGCACCAGCATATCAGGGATGGAAGTTTGGTACCATGCATATCATGATATACATGAGGCATGTCATGCCTGATATGCATATCATGCATGCCAAAGGGTATCATGTGGGTTGTTGGGTATGATTCTTATAAATTGGTAAATGTATGAGAAATGATAGGTTAAGGATGTAAACTCCTTAGCAAGCTAGCAAGCTAGCAAGCTGTGCTGTAGGTTTTATGTGGCCTTAAGGTTCATGCCAAAGGATATTGGATATGATTTTTATAAATTGGTAAATGTATGAGAAATGATAGGTTACGGATGCAAACTCCTTAGACAGCAAGCCGTGCTGTAGGTTTTATGTGGCCTGAAGGTTGATGTCCAGGTGAAAAATTATAGATAAAGGAGAAGAGAATTTGCAAAATGGATGGTCACCCTAGTCTCACTTTAAATCCTTAAAAATCATTTAAAGAGAAGAACATGCCCACGTATCTCAAACCTATTGTGAGACATGTTTTCATCCTTCAGTCGTCTCACACTATTCACACATTTCATTCTCACTTTCGAAATAAAATTTCTTCTGTCCAAGATTTTTATTAAATTAATTTTCTTTAATGAATAGTATTTTCAATCAAGTGTAGCTTTCTAATCATTTTTTTATTTTTGGTTTAGATTCTTTATTTGCTTGAACATAAGGTAATATAGAGAATCATTAGCTTTGTGAAAATATAGAGACCTATTACATTTACAACATGAAGCCTTGTGTAAAGACTATCACAAATGTAAAAAGAAAACCAGATTAATAAAGTTTCCGGAGACAAAATAACAAAATGAACTACAACCTGATAAAGAGCATCAGCAGCCCAAATCAGAGAATATCAAACTCTCTAGAAAGAAACAAATCACGATATGATGAAGAAGTCATTCAGAAAAGGATAAACTGGAGACATTTCCCAAATTACAACCACACTAAGCAATTACTCTCAAAAGGAAACTGACGTACAAAAGCTTGAAAAGAGTCAAATGCCAAAAAACACAGAATCTAATGACCATGCTGTGGCAAGCCGGGCCAAACCATCAGTTTAAAAGCAAATTTAGTGCATATATGTTTAAATATATCCTTGTAGATAGAGGACAAAATTCAGTTAGGCTATTTATTTATATTGGCACAATAATATCACTGAAATTGTTCAAGTCAGCTTATGAATTAATGAGATATTAAAACTTGTGGATGCACTTATCAAGAATGCATAATAAAGAATGAAATAAGAAAGATTGTACCTTCTTCAATTCGGCTTTTGGAGGACCAGGTTCCTGATAAAAGTTTGGCATTGGAGTAGCTTTAAAGGTCAAGCTCTTCCTCAGCCTTCTGATCTCAGCCTCTTGATTCTCCTATAAGATATTGTTTTCCAGAGAAATTAGTCCATGTTGTCTGCAAAAGCTTTACTGGACAAGGAAAGCCCAAGTTTGAATAGAACAATCACCTTTGATTTTGCCTGCAAGTTAGTCTTTTCCAGTTCTTTCGCATGATTCTTCTCTTCAAGCTTCATGAAAAACTGAGAAGACAATACAAATTCGTTCAAGAAGTGTCTTGAACAGAGATATTTGAAAATATTAGAACTGAATGTGTTAACCTCTTTGCGTTTCTCGGCACGCTCGTCCAACTTAAAATTAAATCCAATACCAGTGTTCTTTCTTGCACGTGGTGTTGAACTTCTAGAAAAAGCATAACATAAACATCAAACATATTTTATTGCATACAAGAAAAGCTCAATAACGGGAAGTATAATGGATAAGCATGAAACATTACGAGGCAGCAGAGTGGGCATCATCATCCTCTTTTGCTGGCAATGTGCATCTCAAGGACTTTGTTTTGCCATCATTTGAACTGTTGTGTCATGTCAATTGCATCAAAAATAAAAAAGATCATGTTACATGGTGAAGTCAGTTTGATCAAATATGGTGTCAAGCAATTATTGGTTAGACATCATAGGCAAGACAAAAAATAAACTTAGACAAGCATGGTCTGCACTACGCAACATTATTAACAGGTGCAGAAATATGGTAAATAAGGCAATGCCTTTCATGCCTGATTCCCTGTGCATACAAAAATTATGCCTTTGATGTGGAAAGGCATTGGACTTACTCAAGTTCCATTCACTTCCTAAAATGTATGCAAAGATGCATGTCCCTAAACTAAAGTTTTTCTCAACATTTTAAAATTCATATAACCATCATTAAAAATGTAATAGAAAGTATTGTAAGCGTTTGGGTTATATAAAGGAGAAGGAAAAAATCTTTCTGCTTATAAAATAAGAACTTACTGTGCATCTTCAGCAGGAGAGCCATTTGTAGTTGCCTCCACTGCGCCAGTATTAACAGACTAGGGATGAACAAGTAGTTACAAATGTCAGCAAAATTAGCCCACAGCTCATCTTGAAGAAAGCAATAATCCACCTCACTTTTGACTCACCCTTGTTTTCCGAGCACTTGATGTGGTGGTGAAAACAGAATGATTAGCAGCAGGATCACCTGAATGTGAGGCTGTAAGAATTAGCACATGGAAGAGGTAATTATTTGAAACAACTGGATGCAAAAAGGAGAGATCAAACCATTTGTAATTGACGATGCGACTTTAGACTGCTTCAAAGAAGTGGTGCTCTTATGCAAATTGTTAGCAAGAGATCCTTTGGAAGAAAATGAGAAACTTTGTGATAGAACATTCCTTTTCTTCGGAGGTTCAATTAAAGAACCATTCAGACGACCAGAATTTTTCTGTATCTTCTTGAATCGATCAGATCCACCTCTCTGCACGAAATAGAGTCGCACTTCACCCTCCATTCAATATTATTCTTCAAGCTTTGAGGAAAAGACCAGAGAAAAATCACGAAATACCTTAGAAGAATCGGTCACTTTGTTCTCGGTAGCAAATGTTGGCCCTTCATCCCTGTCTACTGAAGAATCAAGAACAACCTTTGACGTATCTTCGGAGCCACTATCTGCATGAACAGCATGAGTGCCATTCTCGGTAACTGCATTCTCCTTGTTTACGAGTGAAGTAGATCCATTGGCCTCTGCAGCCTCCTCCACTGTTCCTTTATTAAGCTCCACTTCAACTCCATCACCAGATTCCATCTTCAGAATAGAAATCTACCACCAACTAGAAATTGAACTCTGAAACAATAACAATTGCAGCAACACTAAAAATCTGTTTCAATTCTTTGATACACGCATCACCCGTGACACTACAATCGACAATCTGGCATTTCAAGCAAATACTACTGAATTAGACACAACGGATCATCCACACTCGATGTTTCCCTTAAGATCGAGATCCAGACCCAAAAACACTAAAGCTACAAGAAATCAAACACGTTCCTCGAGTTCCACGTTGTCAATTCGCCAAATCTCGTAGCACACGGAAGATCACGAACAATTATAAGATTGCTCAGTACCTGCAGAGTTCGATCGCTTGCGCGGAAGGGAGCGAAAGGGGCGCGACCGATCCGCGTGTCGAGCGAGGAGCGGCGGTGATCCGCACTCGCGGGGCGAGATCAAACCCCTCGAGTTCAGATCAAAGGGCTCCGAGACCCACTTCGCTTCAAGATCGATTAGTTCCGGCGTCGGAGTCCCAATCTCGCGCCCCTCACGGAAACCCTAGTGTCCCCGTCGGCAGACTCCGTTTCGCCCACCGCTGCACAACGACCACTTCGCTCTCTCTGTGCTTGATGAGAAGGTCGGCCGATTTTTTTTTCAAACTACGTATGTAGACGAAACGTTATCTACCAAAATGCCACTACCACATTACAAATATACCCCTAAACTTTTCCTAAAATACATTAACGACTTGCGTGATGGAGCCGAGCTCTGAGGGATATTAGAGTCATTATGGTACACAGGATGGCACAACGTGCTTGGTCGATGACGTGGCGTTCGCTGGAGCAGTATAGCTGGAGTATGAATCTCATCGTATGAATTTACGTATAGGAATATCTATGCGTGAGACTGTTTTCACGGACTGGATAAGTTTTTGGATCAATCGTACGGTTATAATGTGAGTCGCACGAGTTACGCCAGTGGGGATAGTTTCGGATAGGGAGACGTGAGCTGGCAGGAACGTGAAGGGTGACGGCAACATAGAGGGGATCGGACGGCGGAGACATGAGGAGTGAAGAAATCGGAGCCGTTGGAGGGACCCAATCATTGCGCCGCTCCAACAGGCGGGTGATGCGTTGCCGTCTACGCTGGCGACAGGTGTGGTGGATCCCGACAGCTAATACAGTGTTTTCTCCTACTCTTCGAACCGCTTACCGGTCTTTTGATTGGGAGGATCCACGGGGTCCACTTGGAGGGACACTTGTGGCGTCGAGCCAAAGGTAGACCGGCTAGGAGTGCAGTGGCCGTACCACGTGGTGTATGATGGTTCGGTGTTCTTCGGCGAACACGCGCGTGACAACCCTCGTTGAACCTACCTCGTTACCAGCTGCAATCGTGACCGTTCATCCGCAGAGAAATCAACACTTGGTCGACCCTACAAATCCCGGACGTCCTCCACGACCTGCGTTCCACTTGTTCCGAGATGCGTGCGGCAGCCGCTTGGCCCCGCCGGTCGCGTTCTAAATTCAAGCAATATATTCATGAAAAATTCGGGGATAATAAAGCAATAATTCCTAAGCGAAACCCAATAAGAACTGGTTCGACAGCACATGTAAGCCCAATTAAAAATCTATAGCCCAGCCCAGCCCAACAATTACAACCGTTTCGGTTTGGAGTTTGGAATTGTACAGCCAACGGCCCCAATGACGGGGACAACCTTATAAATTATTTTTATATATAATTGAATATAAATTATGCATAAATGATATATGTCGCTTGCCGCTTTTCCTCGGCACTACCGAGTTCGCTGGCCACCCACGCCCATAGTTTGAGCCGTATCGTGCTCTCTATTATCCGCCCACGTTGATTTGTCTCATCTCCTCCACAAAATCCCGGCGATGGCCTCCAAAGATTCTCTTCCAACCCTAATTCATCTTTGAGCTCGGCCCTCTCTTCCAAATCCGATAGCCAGCGCCATGCTTCGGATGGGGCCTCAGCTCCTCACACCCTCTCCAGCCCCTGACGCTGATGGATTCATCCGCCGGTGTCTAGGCTCACCTCCTCCCGCGTTATGGCGGTGCTGCTTCGGGAGGAGGCGTGCCGTGAGACCGGCGTTTAGGAGGGCAGGAAGGTCCCCCACGGCGGTCCTGACCCCGGAGAGAGCGGCGGAGAGGGAAATGAGTGGAGGTGGAATGGAGAGGGAGTACGACGCGATCGTGATTGGTTCCGGGATTGGAGGGCTCGTAGCGGCGACGCAGCTGGCGGCCAAGGGGGCTAAGGTTCTGGTTCTGGAGAAATATGTGATTCCTGGGGGCAGTTCTGGGTACTACGAGAGGGATGGGTTTACTTTTGATGTTGGTTCATCGGTGATGTTTGGATTTAGCGACAAGGTGAGCTCTTTATCCACATTTGATATTGAATTTGGTTGTTTGTTGAACCAGAAGCTTTGTTTATAATTCTTCTTTTGGGAACTTTAGCCGTCGTCGCTGTTTGTACTGGTTGCAACTGAAACTGACAACGAAGAACTCATGTTACCATCACGTAGCTAGCAGAAGGATGGCCACTGAGCTGGTGTTGTCGTGACTTTCGTGGTTTATTTTGATCATGTCAATAGATGATGTATAGATTGATGAAATTAACTATGGAGACCGATAAACTCACTAATTTGTCACCGATATCTGTCTTTACTTGCCTTTAGATTCAAAGTATGACAAATCCTTTTTCTTATGCTTTGTGGATTTTGGTGTCGTATGCATGCCATGCAAGCACGTAGAAAGGCTTATTGACATTCAACCTGTTGACAGCATTATCTGACTTTTTTCGTACTAGGTTGCACTAAATAAAACAAGATTATCATGCCAAATGAATTTATGTCTAGAACTTTTGAAGATTTCCTTTTACTTTTGAGGGAAGATTCTAATATCATACCAACATATTCCAGGTTGCATACCTATTTCCTTTGGCAAGCAAATGGGATAAGTTTTTGGCCCTTGGTGATTTTGTGGAAATTGCTAGCCACACTTGATAGCATGTTGGATGCAGAGAAACAAAAACAAAAACGAAAAAAACATCTATAAGAAGGGATTCTTAAGCTAATAAATTTGCATGCCAAATTTCAGCAGAAAATTCTTTTCCATGCTGACCCCCTGTTGGGCCAGTTAGTGCATCTCTAACTGCTAGACTTAGTTCAATATAGAAGTTTTCAGCTTTCCAACATTTTGAGTATGTTCCAAGTCCAGTTCAGATGCATAAATTGGGTACTACTTTATATTTACCTTTAACTGTTTCTGTTTGCTGACCATTGCTGTAACGTCACTGGCAGGGCAATCTAAACTTAATTACACAAGCATTAGAGGCAGTTGGGCATAAGATGCAGGTCATACCTGACCCTACAACTGTTCACTTTCATCTTCCAGGTGAACTATCTGTTCGTGTGCATAGAGGGTATAATGAGTTCATTGCAGAGCTAATCAATAAATTCCCTCATGAGAAGGAGGGTATCCATCAATTCTATAATGAGTGTTGGAAGGTATGTCATTCTTTTTCTAATTCTTTTTCTAGAGGCTTCTATTTCAAGCCAGATATGTTTAGTGGCTCCCATAATCATTCTTTAGTTCCTGCATCAATAGATCTTCAATGCACTGAATTCATTGGAATTGAAATCATTGGAGGAGCCTCTATATCTTTTTGGACAGTTTTTCAAGAAGCCATTGGAATGCTTGACTCTTGGTAATGGTTGAATTTTAAAATGAAAGTTATGATGTTATGTTTATAAATAAAAAAGATGTATCTTTTTACTGAAAGATTTCTATATCTCTTTGATATTTTATTGGCTAATCTATTTGAATTTGTTCTTAGCATGAAAGCCAAAGTTCATGCATTTATGCTAATTATGGGATTTTTTTTAAGCTTATTATCTACCACAAAATGCTGGGGATGTTGCTCGGAAGTTTATCAAGGACCCTCAGTTGTTATCCTTCATTGATGCTGAGGTGTGGAATTAATTTATTGAAAAGTCTATTTATACGTCTTGGTGTTCAGAGCAACTTCTTGTCTACATAGAGCTTTTGAATTAGCACTTCTTGAAGAGTCAAAATAATTTGTGATGTATCTGTAGTGTTTCATTGTGAGCACAGTTAATGCTTTGCAGACACCGATGATCAATGCAAGCATGGTAACATGTCTCCCTTTGCAAAATAATGAATTTATTTCTCACAATTTTTCTATTAACTATCAATTTTTCTTTCTTTTGTCACAAAAGGTTCTGTGTGACAGACATTTTGGAGGGATCAATTATCCAATTGGTGGTGTTGGTGGTATTGCAAAGGCTTTGGCAAATGGCTTGGTTGATAAGGGCAGTAACATACTTTACAAATCAAATGTGACCAGTATACTACTTAATAATGGAAAGGCTGTGAGTGATTACTTATGAGGTTCAGTAGTTCATTACTTTTTCTGTCTTCAGTAGTTAGGCTGACCAGAGTCAGAAGGGTGTTCTACAAATTCCATTGTTTTCTGTTGGTTTCTGTCTTTGATAGGTGGGAGTGAGGCTCTCAGATGGAAGGGAATTTTTTGCTACAACTGTAATCTCAAATGCAACAAGATGGGATACCTTTGGTAAATTCCCTCTATCTCATAATAGTTGAGCTTGAGTCTTGGTTTCACTTCAATCTAGATCTTCTTGTGTGCTTGTGTATTAACACCATTCTTGATCTTCAAAATTTTCTTTTATCTCGATGAGCTTAGAATGTCTAGCAGCATAAGGTGTCAAATGGTCGGAAGGCTGGTTAACAAAGACACCTGAATGACAATAACATTGCAGAATTGAAAGGTCATAATGAGAAGTAATATGTGAATAGTGAAAGGCAATTGTTTATCAGTGGAATGATTTTTTTTTTAGCTTCCCCTAGATGGTGCCAATGCCAAAATATGAGTCTAGTTTGTATTGTTTTCTTACTGTAATAGCCTTTATCAGTGCTTCACATAGATTAAATGTCTACTTTTTTGTTGATCCTTGTAGTTTTATTAAAAAGAAGATAACAGAGGTGCGTAAGGTGTCAAAGCATCTAAGACTCTGTTTACAAAAAATACTTGAAGGTTGAGTGAGATAAGTAATATGGTAAACAGTAGAGAGCAATTGCTGATTACTGAAAATCATCTTTAGCTCTCCTTAGATGGTGCTAATAACAAATATGAGTCTTGTTAGAATTTTTTCTACTGCAATTGCCTTTGTCATAGCATCCAGTAGAATACATAACTACTGAGTACTATCTGCTTCATTGTTTCATCCAGCTTTTGTTCAAAAAGAATAAAACATACAGATTGATTCTTTGCATATAATTGGAACTTTCCGTTTTTTAGCTATTTCATTTGACTGATTTCTTTTGTCAGATTGTACTCTTGCATGAATAGTTATGAATTTTTTATGGGTTTTGCTTCATTGATAAACTAACTTTAGTTCTGCCTGGGATCTGATTGAGATATCTTTGTCCACTTCTAGATTCGAACTTTTTTAACTTTACTCACTTGATATCAACTTACAATTTTTTCTGATGACAGGTAAACTTGTGAAAATGGATGATCTTCCAGAGGAAGAGAAAAACTTCCAGAGAATCTATGTAAAGGCACCATCTTTTCTTTCCATTCACATGGGAGTCAAAGCAACAGTTTTGCCTCCTGATACAGACTGCCACCATTTCATTCTCGAGGTATCCGTTGCTTTCTAGCTCCTTGATTCAGTTCTGATAGAGAGATAACTATAATTAAGTAGGATAGTTGTGTGCTCATCTTTTGGCTATCATTATGAATACAGGATGATTGGGCAAATTTGGAGAAGCCCTATGGAAGTATATTTTTGAGTATTCCAACTGTTCTTGATTCATCCTTGGCTCCAGAGGGACATCACATTCTTCACATATTTACCACATCATGCATAGAAGATTGGAAGGTCACTCTTCTATTGTAGTTTTGTTTTTCTTCGCCTCTTGCTCTATAGTGATACTTTGGAATGAAATTACATAATTCATGCTGGTTCTAGTTTCAAATCTTACTTTGATGATGGCATAAATCTCTATTTACTATGGTTCCAGGGTCTTGGTTCAAAGGACTATGAAAAGAAAAAAGAGCTTGTGGCTGATAAAATTATATCCCGGCTTGAGACTGAACTTTTTCCGGGTCTCAAAAGCTCCATAGTGCTTAAAGAGGTACTACAGCATGCTTCCCGTTAAAATTGGTGACATTGTTAGTTGTACCCATGGTACTTACTGCCTTTTGTTTTGAAGTTTGTATAAACTTTGTGCAGATTGCAGTCTCAACCAGATCATGCGCCATTACCCCCTCACCCCAACAACCCCACATACCATGCCACTGAATACACCACACACATGCACATGCCCTCCTAGCTAAAAATAGATGGATGATTCAGAGAAGTTAGGAGTTAAAAATTGGAGCTGCCATTGATTCATGCAACTTAAAACTCATATTTTTAACAAGACTCGGTGGTCATGTTTTAGGTTGGTTGGCTGTAGCCTCATTTTTTAAACTGCATATTGGCATTTAACTGTTGATGTTGTCACAAATCTATTTTAGAGACTAAATGTATCAAATTAGTCATGGATAAGTCTATATCATTCTTTTATTAAATATTTCTGACTAATAATGAGCTTTAAATGAAATATTTGAGTCATTGATAGCTTACTAATATATATGCTTTTGCATGCATACAAAATTTTAAATGATTTAGATCTTGTATGACTTTCTTGTATGGTCATGACAGGTGGGTACACCAAAGACCCATAGAAGATTTCTTGCTCGGGATAATGGTACATATGGACCGATGCCACGCAAGGTGCCAAAAGGATTGCTGGGGATGCCTTTTAATACAACTGTATGTGCGCTACTGCCGAATGATAGCTGATGTGATTATTAAGTATTTAAGTAATTGTCAGTTGATGAGTAATTTGCTAATAAATCATAGTGGGACATGCAGGCTATAGATGGTCTATACTGTGTTGGTGATAGCTGTTTTCCTGGACAAGGAGTTATAGCTGTTGCATTTTCAGGCATCATGTGTGCTCACAGAGTTGCTGCTGATATAGGTAAGCAGACTTTAGTTTAACAGTTCCAATGATTAGGAATGTTGAAAACAAAAAGATGTAGGGTAGGACCAAAAGAAATCATGGTATCCTAAGACATTCATATGAAAAGCCACTTTGTTTCATTTAAAAACTGTCGTGGTAACTTGTCAAATGAGTTTTTTTTATTTTCAATAAAAATAATGCATATTCCTTTGTTCCACTCAATTGAATCTTTGATTTTGGTACATTCAAATCCTTTGTTCCAGATTTACTATCACTTGCAATGGCCACAAAGAGACAGGTATTTTACTGTCAGGGCCCTGCCACCATGATCAAGCATGGTGCGCATGTGCAGTAGTTCATATGGCAAGGGGTGTTCGACAATACCTTTCACTATACTGGTATTGTGCAGGCATACTACGTGCCAGCATGGAACAGCACATTAACTTGTGCAGTGATTGTAGGAGAATGATTTTTGGTTTGGTTTTTATCTAGTCTAATCAGAATTTCATATGATCCCTCTTATTTCTTCTTGCAGGTCTTGAAAAAAGATCTCCAATATTGGATGCTGCTCTTCTTCGATTTCTTGGGTGGCTGAGGACAATCGCCTAATTAAAAGTTTAGCAGACTTGTGAAGCAGGTTTATATAAGAAACAAGATAACGAACGAATCAACTGATACATATTGAACATGTACATGCCGCCAAGTTCTTCTGGTGATGTACCGGTTTATCCAGTGATGCAAGAAAGGTGGTGATAAAAGAAGATGCACTGGTTGTTTCTAAATTGTAAGCTAAGATAGCATCAAGAATTAGGCTTTAAATTCAGTCAGATGTTGAGCGGATGATAATCACCGGGCTGAACTTTGCATGTGGAGATGGTGAGCTCAGTAGCTTTTCTTACCTCCTCATCTTTAAAGGTGAAAGAGGTATGTTGCGGTTTTGGTTGTGAATTATTTGTAGCTGTTGGAAATTGTGTAAATTAGACACGGCAATTGCTGTACTCGCCAATTTAGCTTCATACAACTAGTAGTTTGCAAGAGGAAATCTTCAGACCGTGTACTATAGCTGTGCTTCTTAATGCAAAGAATTATGTCCACCCTCTTGCCTGTTTGCTGCATACGGAAAAGTGTCCACTTTATAAGCATTTTTAACTTGAATGATATTGATTTTAGGGAAAACATCACAGCATGTAGGTTTCTAGTGGCAATAACTGATCCTTACGAATTGTACATGAAGGCCTATTAGAACGGGAGAGATATGTGGGTGATATATATATATATATATATATATATATATATATATATATATATATTGGAAAAACCTCTCTTTTTTTGTGTTTCTCTTATAAATGCCTGTTTTTCCTCATCATTGTTTGTCTCTCGTCGTGGCTCTCATCCCTCGGGGGAGGATAATAGCATCTCCTTGTTGGTGATGGAGAATGGAGTCTATGTTGGCGACATTGACTATAACAAGATCCTAGGGTTGAAGATATCAAGTAGGGCTAGGGCCTCATGACCAAACATTAATGATGCATCGATAGCAATGAATGAAGGTATTAATGACAATAATGAAAGACAAAAGCACACTAAGAGGTGATGAATAAAGACAAGAATGAAGATGACGAATGAGGACATAATAATAACAATGGATAAGGGCCTTAACAACGACAATAACGAATGAGGACAAGAGAGGAGACATTACTATTACACAAAATAAAGGCATCATTTAGTGAAATTGAAAAAGGAGCATCTTCGAAGAAAAACTCAAAAAGAAAAATTATATACATACAAACATACATATATAAAGAAAGATTGTGCATGCACATAAAGCGGGCATATTTAAATAAACTCAAGGAAATAGGTTATATGCATAATGCACATGAGAGTACATACAGTAAGATGAATGGTCATCAAATGTCAAATTATGTCACCTAACAATGCAATATAGTCTCAATATAAGAGCAACATTTGGAAAAAGAAAAAAAAGAAAAAAGAATCAGATGATACAATGTGATTTCAAAGAATTATATGAAAGAATACATAAAGAGAGCTGAGATCCAGATCCATAAAGGATGTACACATTTGGTTCATGTTGCTTCTGGGAAACTGATATCAACCATGAGTTCTGGTGAGGAACCTCCGATGCCTTGTACGAGGAGACTTGTCCAAAAGTAGCAGGAGTCCAACATTGCTAGCCGATAGCCCAAACGTATACCTGGTGGAGCCATAAGCAAACCCTTAATCATGTTTACTTCAACCAAAAGGAACTACTCCAATATAAATGTAGAAACTTACCTCACTCGTGATGATCTTCTTCTCCAGAAAACAAGTGAGATGACACCCTGCAGAAAAACATAATTTAGAAAGCGCACACCAAAAGAAACATCAAAGAGAATTACCAATGAGTTCATGTTAAGAATTATGCGAATTGGAATAAGTAAACATTTAAAATATGATGATCCACTCATAAACACAATATGTTCAACTACAAGAGACTTAGCTCATAGAAGTATATACACAAAAGAATGACATAATCTTAGTAGATTGTCCAATAGCATGCCCATTGCAAAAGAACAGTGAGAGGAGGGAGCACTGTTCAGAGTGTAAACTTGATACTTGTTCTTATAGGACAACTATGTAGATAGTTGTCGATATTGAGAACAACCATAGCGATATTATTGGTACTTAATCTTCTAATTCATGGCGCAGCACCAAAAATGTTAAACCTGATCGTGCTTGTTCACCAAAATAAGCTTTCAGATATGCATCATGAAAGAGGTTAATGTGCAAAAATATGATCAGCAAGCAATCATGCAACTAGAAACCATAATTCAAACTCAGGCCCAAGACTACAGCACAGGACTCTCACACCAGATTCATGGCCTTGCATGACTCCATCATACAGTCCAAAAAATCCCACAAATCTGCAGAATAGCCCAGATCATTTTGTGGAAGCCAATTACCATCAAGATAAAAGTCTGACACGAATTGCACCACCACCAACACCAATTACAGTAGTGATAGAAACTGTTCCGGTTATGAAAAGATAGTTCTTGTCCAAGAAATGCATATGAGTCATGTCTTCATGTCTCAAATTTTACCATACCATTAAAAGTTCATTTAGGGATGTTCTCATCTATGTGATAAAACAATTCTAATATATGCAAAAACCTCAGTGAAAAAATCACACAATTCTATCAGGTGAGTACTCATGAGTATCAACTAGGGAAAACTACAATGCTACTACTAGCGTGTGAGCATTTCAAGCCATTACAACTATTAGGCAACTTTGTTGACTCTTATGACTCTTTATCAGTCACAACATTCTAAGAGTAAGCTCAGATATGTTCTGATTCTTAATATATAGAAGCTAATTTGAAATTCATAGGAGTAGAATGTCCTGAATGTATCTATAATTAAGAAAGCCTCCCTATAACAATTAGATGTTGTATTTAGACACAGATTCTATCATTTCTGTTTTCTCTATTATATGAAAAATCTCTATCTCCTGTTCCGATATAATGTAACATTCTCACTTCTTTCTCAGGTAACTGACAACTGACAAATCCTTAGATTAGTAATATAACGTGGAATTTCATTTCATAAACATACTTTGTTCTGATTTTATACAATCCTTCTAATGCATAAATATTTTTTCTTTTCCTACTAATTGAGAAATTACCTGAAAGAATCAAGATAAGGTTGACAACCAAAAGAAGCATTTTTAAAGCTAATTCATTCTGCACAGCCAAACCTATAATAATGTGTCAAAATATGCATGATGAGATGCAAGATTTCACATACAAGAACTTTTCAAGCAATATACATCATTTATCATGTTGCATATATACCCCATTTTTGACTTGAACTTATTCAGGTGAAAATGCTCATGAAGACAGAGAAGATGAATAAGTTATTACCTTGATCATTGACATGATAGAAATTCTCTTGTTGGAAGGTGATGTCTTGACTATCTTCTTCTCTGTCGATGCTTCCTTACACATCTGTTGAGCAATCTCTTTCAACAACACCATCTGAGCCTTGTCCGTGCCCATGGAAATCAATGTCTGCCGCATGGACTCCCTGTCCGCCTCGAGCGCCTGCAACCTCATACAAAGCTTCCTCATCTCTGCTTCCTGCACCCCGCCCACAACATTCCTCCTGCTCTGAAGCTCCCTCGGCGTGCTCACGTAATCCTCGCTAGCCCCATGCACCGCATCCACCGTATACACTCTGTCGCTCATATCATCTCGCCCACCACAGTCCGACGCGCCGTCCATCGCTGACGGGAACTCCTCCCCCTTATTGAATTCCAGGCTTGAACCATAGCTACAGAAGGAGAAACTCCTGAGATTCCTGCGCCTCCAGCGCGGCGACTGCCCGACCACGACGCTCTTATCCATGACATTGCAAAGCCTGCTGCTTGGCAACCGCTCGAGCTGGAAGATGCGCTGCTCGAGCGTCTGGAAGCGCTCACGAGGGGTCTCCTCGGAGGGATACTTATCGAGGTCGACGGCGGTATCACTAGTGCACCTCAATGGGGGGTAGTCGCGAGGGAAGGGGTCGAACTGGGGCACAGCGAAGGCGGAGGTGGCCGTATCAGGGGTCTGTGGTTCGGAGGGAGGTGCATCACCGTCTTCCATGCCGATGCCGTAGCTGAGGAGACGATGGCGATACGCCTGGACCTCACAGGTGACGGCTTGCACGGCCTGGTCTTTCTTGAAGAGGAGGTCCTCGAGGGCGGCGATCTCCTGCTGGTCGTGCGCCATCTTCTCCTCGGCTAGGCGCTTGAACTGACGGGCCTCCATCTGGGCCTCGGCCTTCTCGCGCTGGAGACGGAGGATCATCGACATAGCCTCCGTGGCGGCGGACGCCGCGGCGCTCCGCTCCTCCTCCAGCTCCGTGAGGAGCTTCTGGACCGACTGCTGGTGACTGACGAGGGCCTCGCGGAGGGCCGCCGCCTCGTTCCCGATGTCCACCCGGGCGAAGCCAGCGACAGAGGATGGGGAGCGGGCTTCGAAGTCCGTCTCGTCCAGCTTCCGCTTCAGGTTACGATACCAGGAGGAGGCGCACGTGCCAAACATGACCGCCGCCCCAGGCGTTGCCACGGGTTCCTCACGAACCATGGATTCCGAGATGACACCGGAACGAGCATACAATCCAAATCTGCCACGCCTCCCCATGGCCTCACGGCGGCATACCAAAATCCTCCTCCTTCTCCACCTCCTCCGACGCCAGCGGTCGCAATCGAGGAGATGGGGGGGGAGGAAGAGGAACAATGCCAACAATGGAAGCGGAGTCGAAGCCCTAGGGTTTGGGATTGAATTGGGCGCGCAAGGCGAGAAGACGAGGGTGGAGAGGAAAGGGTCGGGAGCGGGGAGCGGGAAGCGGGGAACGGTGAACGGTGGGGGGTCGTTCAGCACTTACATTTACCAATGTCCTCCGCACCCAATCCGCACCTCGGCACAATGGAGGAACGAAACCGCGGGACCCGTTGGCCGAAGGAGAGGAAATGGATACTTTATTTGGCGGGCGAACGCGTGTGTGGCTGAGTGCGTAACGGAAAGGTGGGCTAAATTTAAGCGTCCGTTCTCTCCCTTCTGTAATGGAATGCCCGGTCAAAATCCCCGCGGATTTGCTCGAATTAATGATCTAATTAAGCAACTACCGAATCCGATTAAGAAAGCTGACACGTGGCCTCCATCTTCACCTCTCATTTATATTACATTTACCCTTTAATTTATTCTAAAAAACTAAAAGTGATAAAAAAAAAACATCGTCGACGGATCAATGATCGACGTGTGACCACTACAAATGTCTAATGTCCAGGTGGAAGAAAAAGATAAAAGCTACTCCGATTATTGAATGTCCTTGTCACTCTATTTATAAATCTCACTTATGTGCATAAAAGGTTAATATTTTATAACCATATATTAAAAAAAAATTTCAACATAATAAAAGGAGGGGATCACTTTCGACCACTCACGTCTACACTCATCTACCTTGGATTACTAACTTAGAACATCAAAGGGATCGGATCGAAAAACTTCTCATGACCTCGGTCTTCGTGTATATGGCATATCGAGAGCGTAGCATTTTCACTTCAGAAGCACCCTAGATAATCTTACGCATATGAGTCCGGACCAAGTCAGGTTGACTAGGACGTCAATGACTTCTTCCCGTAATATTTTTGACTCTAGAAGTAGAGCCCGATGTCGTAGGAACAATCGTCTGTCGACCCTTATAATAAATGCTTGAGCGAAGAGGTTTTACCCCTAACCCATAATAATTTCACCTAAAGGGGACAACAAACATCCTTTTTCGTATATGGATGCATCCACCTCAAAGTAGATGTTAGTGTGATACGAGCGTTTATTCAACGACCTGGGTCTCTCATGCATAGGGATGACCCCAAGCCATCGGCTCATCCTTGTCAAGGTGATCCTAAATCTCATTCAATAAGTGTAAATGCTAACAATCATTTACAGGTCATCACTCTGCTATTGCCCCAACTAGCCCAATAATAGATGCCAATAACTCAACAACGGTCTCCGACTCAACTGCTATTAGCATCGGCACCCATCAAGGTTCCCCAACCCAACGTGACTCTAACATCCCAAGAGCGCTAAAGACTTATTTAATTGTTGGCCAAGGGATCACTTTAGTTCATAACCTTGAAATTTAACAAACTGTACCACTACTCTACCCTACATGAATCCAAGGCCTAGTCATTAAATTCAACGGAAGATTTCCTATAAATCCACTCTACCTTACAAATGAATCGATGTTTGGAGGAGATGTAACTAGAGTTCCAATAATCAAAAGGGGACGCGTTGATCGACCCCATGTCGGGTTGGTCATTATTTACACATAAAATTTAGGAGAAATATGTTTCAGCGAACTATCGTCTCCCATCCTTAGAGACCTTCGATGATAATACCGATCCGATAGAGCACATTATAGCTTTTCATGTCTAAATATCATTATATAACACTTCAGATGCCCTGATACATGGTACCTTTCTAATCATATTAAGAGACTCAACATAAGAATTATACGCTCACCTAGAGCCACTTTCCATCGATTCTTTTGTCCAGAAATTCAAACTTTACTTCCTAAAAACCTATGCTCATGGTATTTAATGGAAACACTCCTCGGACTCACGTAGGAGGAGGAAAACATGCTAGTAAACTTCGTCACGGGTTCGTAACATCCCCGCTGTGCTCGTCACGCGAAATTCCCGGTGCTCGTCGTGAAACCACCAAACGCAAATCGGTAACCACGAAACCGAGATGTAGATATTAATTCGGATCTAAATGGTCGATTCCGAGTCTTTATTTTGATTCGTAGACTGCGAACGTCCTTTTGTTTCGTTATGCTACATGTGTCTTAGAGTTACATGCTTCGAGTTCTTCTAAGATCGATGAGAGCTTCAGAATTAGAATTGACATGGTGCCATCATTTTTTTGGGTGTTGCTACCATTCTATGCAAACCAATTTTTGTGTTAACTTGGATACTCTGTACATCCAAGTAGGTCGTAAGAATTACATTGTTGATGATGCTGTTCCATCCCATGGGAACCTTTCAACTTTATTCCTCTCAAAATCTCCTCAACCTCAAAAAAAATGTAGATTTCATCTGAGCAGCTCACCTGCACTGCCTTCTCCTGAAGTTTCTTGGGGAGAGCATCTTTGTTAGCAGAGCTCTTAGTCTCCTTGAGCCTGCCCCAGGCCTGAGAACACCCAAGTTTCCTCTCGCATTGCCTCCCGAGGAACCACCTCTCTTGCCATTCCAGCACCAGCCGCCATGAGCAAACTGCCCGTTCCGGCGTCGGAGTAGCTCTCGATCGATCTTGTCGAGGACCGGATCGTTCTTCTTGAACTTCCTCGCAAAGGGGACACTGCTCAGGATCATTCTTCTGTAGTCCTTGAGTCCTAGAGTCAAGGGATGTTGCTTGGGTGGATTGTCCCACGTGATGTAGTGGAGATCATGGTTCACCGTGGTGTTCTGGTGATCCTTGGAGTTGCATATCACGGTCTGGAAATAGCCCTCCGGTGAGGAGATGAAGTTGGTGTAGTAGAGGAGGAGGGTTCTTGGTAGGTTGTCCCAGCCAAGAATACAGTACTCTGCAAAAGATCTGGAGAGTATAGTCCAAGCTGAGCCTGAGAAAACAACGGTGCCGATGTAAGTTAGTCTCTTCATCCATCAAGACAAACACTGGTGCAAAGAGAACACTGATCCTATCTAGCGTTACATTGTCAAAGATCATGGACTAACGTGGAGTTGTGCTAATAATACAAATGCCTTTGATGGGTGTCTTCAAAGTTGAACTGCAGTTGATATATCAAACAAGTAGCTATTTTTAATCTCAATAGTATAATTAATCGTAAAGTTAACATAATTTAGACGTTGTCTTTTTGGTTTGGTAGACATCAGCAGCAGACATGACTGCAAACACACAAGTAAAATATTCCAGACATATTGGAAGGTGTAGTCGACCGATTCTTCTATGTAGATTTAGTACATGGATCTTGAATGTAATGTTGGCAAACACTGGCTGCGCATGATCGTGTCAGCTAATGTGAAAAGATGGAGTTTTGTTTGGGGAAGAACCTGTGTAAAGCTTGAAAGCAGTGGGAAGGCCCCTCTCGTTCGCAGACCAGATCACCTCTGACTTGTTGCGGCTGTAAAGCGCAGGGTCTATGATTATAGGCTTCGCCCTCTTCTTTCTACAGGAAGAAAAGAGAGAGAGAATGATAATTACATGCATCATTGCTTCAATCATACACGGGAAAGATGAAGTCGACATCTTACATCTTCCAACCCAAGTGGCTGGTGTACTGTACGAAGTTGAGATCTCTAGGCAAGGTAGAGAAGGCCACGATTAGATCTGTAGCAATGGTTAGAGACAGCATCATTGCAGAAGACACCGACTGCGGAAATCTTGTCTGATACCTTCCTGAAACTTACCATCTTGCGTGATCAATGGGTAGTCGGAGGCACTGAGATTGATGAACCAATCCCACTGGCGGATCCTGAGCAGGACGGCCATGGCGTGGAGAGTGGTGGACAGCATCGTGGGTCCTCTGTAGGTGACCAAGTTCGACTTGCCGACGAGCCAGACATTGCGGAATCGCGCGAAGGTCTTGTGCTTGGAGACGAAGTCGGACAGCCGGGCGTGCTCTGATGGCGAGGCCTCGAGGTCGAGGTGGAGAAGGTAGCAGTTGCCGGGGTGGTAGATCGCGGTGAGGAGGCGCTTTAGCCGGTCGACGTCACCGGTAGAGGCGGAGATGAGGTAGGCGAAGGTGACGGGATACGGTTTCGGCTGGGGAGGCCGCCGCAGGTGGTCGGATAGGTGGAAGGGAGAGATGGATTTGCCGAGGAACGCTGGGAGAAGCAGGAGAGAGAGGAGGAATGAGGTGGTGATGAAGGAGATCATGAACGCTTTGATGCCCATATCCGAGATCATCTGCAGTGCAGCTAAAACATGTAGTGAGACGAAGACAGAGAGTCACAGAGTGGAGAGAGAGAGAGAGAGAGAGAGAGAGAGAGGAATCACGACATGAAGAAGACTGAATTCATCAAAATCCATAAAAGTACCTACCTGTGGATTATCCTGGAAGGAGAGGAAATCATGGGAAGGGTACAGAACAGTGTGAAGCTAATAGGTATGGAGTACAGAACCAGCTTTCCCGAAGCAAGAGAAGGGGCGATTAGAGGGGATGGTGGTAGGACAAAGGTAGTTGTCGATGTTGGTAGTTATGCTTTGATTGATGATTGCACTCTTCCATGATGCAGAGAGCAAAAAAAGCAGAGGGGGTGGAAAGATCAGATCTAGTTCCTTCCTTGGGGGTGAGGGCTCCTCCGCACCGCAGGGTCACAAGTCCACATCCCTTTGGAAAAGGATAAAGACATTTTTGCAGGCCTCTTCTAATGACCAAATTGGCCTCAGTAACACTCGACACACTCGCGGGTGGTAGATGAGCTCATTAAGAACTCTCCATGGCAGCCATACCGGCAGCCTCCGCCGTATCGAATGGCATGGCTTGGATGCTTGTGGGTGGCATCGGTGGCTTTCAGTGGGAGGATGTGTAGGTCTCACCAGCAATCGAAAGGTGCAGTTAACCAGCCAAAGTGTAATGGCCTACCAAAAGAAGGTGTTGGCACAATCAAATGGTTGTGAAGAGCTGCCATAGCTGGCAAAGACCAACAAAACAAGCAGTGTGTTTAGATTCTGAAGCAAAGAATTAAGTTTAGAGAAAAAGGAGACGGGAACAGTCGATCTAGCTCGGCAACTATAATTCCAATTTCCAAAATTTGATATGTATTTATTGCAATCAATCATCAATGTCATACATGGTTGAGTTTTGTAGTTTGGAATTCTTTGAGTACAGAGATTCCTGTTTTGGTAT